GGGAATCGAACCCGAGACCTCAGCACAGCAGTCGCATACTGTAGTGTATGTAAGTTCCTTTATATTATTCAGTAAGTATACTCCTTTACAACGATGTCTCAACTGTCTCAAATTATTGCTTATGTTGTGTTTTGGAATTGCACTATGTATTTCTTTAAGTTTTATATTATTCTAATCGTGGAAGCTAACGTGAACAGTTCTTTTTATTTAACCGAGACCCCATACATCTCAATACGCTACTACTGCACCACCGAGGCAGTCGAGCTCTAAATTTAAAATAACTTATTACATATCTTTAGACAACAACTTCAGGTTGTATTATAGGTGCAAGAAGTTAAATTCATCATGTCATACATCATAATATACAAATATTTAAGTCTCACATGTGATATTGAAGACAGCGTATCAGTAGAAAGACAGAAAATTTATTTCTGAAATACATGACGGCTTTCACCAACGAATTTTCACGGCTATCAAACACTTTTCAAAGCAAACTACACATCACTAATTACATAAAACATAACTAGGAAACAAGTGGCAGCCCTTTGCCAAAATGTATGGTTTCGGATGTGCCGTTTCACAGACACATCGGACACAACGTGGCAACACCGGCAACGTGGCATGCAGTGCATTGCATTCACTACTCACGCGACATACGTATGACGTGTTACAGAAAACTTTTGTTACAAATAATCAATGTTGCTAGTACAATTGATCAAAGTTGGTAGCGAGAGAGGCGTCGTGCATCAGAAACTTGGATGGACACTCAGCATACTCTAAGATGCGTATATCCCCAACCCAGTACTGATTTTCAGTGCCAACCACGACCAGTACACAATCTCACCGTATTCTGTTCTACATCTTACCACTTTCAGCTTGAGACATAGCCGCAGATTGCGATCCACCTCCTGCTCCATCTAAAAACCATAAAGGTATTGTTAAATGTAGACTACATTAAAAATATATGAAGACCAAACATCACACATCACATCATCACACATCAACAGCCTTTAATAGTCCACTGCTGGACATAGGCCTCTCCTTAGAAAGAAGGTTTTGGCCTAATATACCACGCTGGCCAGGCGGGTTGGTATAGGGTTTGTGTTTATAGTGTGTGTGGTATAGGGCCCAACCGGAGTTTGAACGACTTCGAGGTTTTCCTAACCAGCTTGGAGACCTCGATACGGCGACTAGCGTCTGGGCACGTCCTTGTGCTGGGGGACTTCAACGCAAAGTCCATTGCGTGGGGTTCCCCCAGGACGGACGCCAGGGGCGAGGCCGTAGAGGAGTGGGCGGCCTCGGTGGGCCTCTGTCTTCTAAACAGAGGCTCCACCAACACGTGCGTGCGACAGCAGGGGGGGTCGATAGTGGACCTCTCGTTCGCTACCCCTGCCCTCGCCGCACGAGTAAGGAACTGGTGTGTCCTGGAAGAGGTTGAGACGCTCTCGGATCACCTGTATATCCGATTTGAGCTCTCCCGGACCCAGGACTCCAGTAGGGGTCACGTGGCGCGGCGTTTATCCCGCTTTCCTCGGTGGGCTGTTGCCAGGCTGAACCGGGACCTACTAGAGGAGGCAGCCATAATTCACTCGTGGCTGTCTCCTCAGGCTCCGACCGAGGAGGTCGACGTGGGGGCTGGCCGCTTTCGCGATGCGATTACGCATGTATGCGATGCGGCCATGCCCCGCGTTCGAGGTCGTCGGCCTCCAAGGAAGGAGGTCTACTGGTGGTCCCAGGAGCTGGCGGACCTCCGTGCGGCCTGTACACGTGCCCGGAGGTCCTACACGCGCAGTCGGCGGCGTCACCGTGGAGACGGTGAGGAGGACCGGCTTCATGAGGAGTACCGACGGGCGCGGAAAACTCTGAAGCTGGCCATTAGCCGCGCCAAAGAAGAAAAAAGACAGGAGATGCTGGAGGGTCTTAATCGTGACCCCTGGGGTCGCCCTTACCGCGCGGTGCGACAAAAGCTCCGCGCGTCGGGCCCCCCCCTTACGGAGACTCTCCAGCCCAGCTTCCTGCGAGAAGTGGTTGAGGGCCTTTTCCCACAACGGGCGGAACACACTCCCCCGTCGATGGCCTCCTTGGCCGGAGACGACGGGGAGCACGGGGAGGATAATGTTCCGCCCGTCCGGGAATCGGAGGTAGGGGCGGCTGTTCTACGGATCCGTTCCAAGAACACCGCCCCTGGGCCAGACGGGGTACCGGCCCGAGTGCTGGCCCTGGCCCTCAACCACATGGCAGACCGCCTCGGGGAGGTGTTCGACGCTAGCTTGGCGTCGGGACGCTTCCCTGAGTGCTGGAAGAGCGGGAAGCTGGTCCTATTGAGGAAGCCGGGACGGCCTGCCGATTCGGTCGCGGCCTATAGGCCCATCGTGCTGCTGGACGAGGCGGGCAAATTGTTTGAGAGGGTTCGTCCGGCACCTCTGCGAGGTGGGCCCCGATCTGTCGGACGCCCAATTTGGTTTTCGGGCGGGGCGTTCGACAGTCGACGCCGTGTTGCGCCTGAGGGCCGTGACCGAAGAGGCCGTGAGCTGTGGCGGCGTGCTGTTGGCGGTGTCATTAGACATCGCCAACGCATTCAATAGTCTGCCATTCAGCTGCATCAGGGAAGCACTCCACTATCATGGGGTGCCAAAGTACCTGAGGCGGCTAGTGGCAGACTATTTAGAGGTGTACGAGGACCGAGAAGGTTATTTGAGGTGTCGGCCCATGTCGTGCGGTGTTCCACAGGGGTCTGTTCTTGGACCCCTCTTGTGGAACATAGGGTACGACTGGGCCCTTCGCGCCGATTTCCCCCCTGGGCTGGGTGTAATCTGTTATGCAGACGATACCTTGGTGACAGCCCGGGAGGCAAACTTCCAAGAGGCGGCGCGCCTGGCCACAGGGGGAGTCTCCCTGGTGGTCGGGCGCATAGAGGCGCTGGGCTTACGGGTGGCCCTAGATAAGACGGAGGCCCTGTTATTTCATGGGCCCCGTCGTGGTCCACCCCCTGGTGCCTCCATCGTGGTCAACTCGGTCCTCGTACCGGTTCGGGCCCAGATGAAATATCTGGGCCTGATCCTCGACGGGAGGTGGCTCTTCGACGAGCACTTCCGACAGCTTGCTCCAAAGCTGGTCGGCGCTGCGTCTGCCCTAGGGCGACTCTTGCCCAATATGGGTGGACCCAGCGTCGCGACAAGACGGCTGTACACGGGGGTTGTCCGGTCAATGGCGCTGTACGGTGCACCGGTGTGGGCGGCGGCTCTGACCGCCCAGAATAGGGTACGCCTCTGGCGCCCTCAGAGGGTAATGGCGGTCAGAGCCATACGCGGTTACCGCACCGTTTCTACGGAGGTGGCATGCGCGTTGGCCGGAACTCCCCCGTGGGATTTGGAGGCGGAAGTGCTCGCCGAAGTTTATCGGCGAGTGGCTGACTCCCGGGCGGAGAGCGGATTTCGCCCTCCGCCCGAGGATGTGCGCGAGTGGCGCGAAGCCGCTCGCCGAGCCACGATGGCTCGTTGGTCGTTCCGGCTGGAGACTCCACGCGCTGGCTTCGCCGCCGTGGAGGCTCTCCAGCCGGTCATCGCCGAGTGGGCAGGGCGGCAGCACGGGACCCTTTCCTTCCGACTGACGCAGGTGCTTTCCGGGCACGGTTGCTTCGGAAAGTACCTGCACACGGTCGCTAGGAGGGAACTGAGTCCCGCCTGCCACCACTGCGACTGCAGTGAGGACTCGGCCCAGCACACGCTGGCGGTCTGCCCCGCATGGGCGGCGCAGCGCCGGGCCCTCACTGCAGTCATCGGAGTGGATCTCTCGCTACCGGCCGTAGTACGCTCCATGGCCGGTAGCGACAGTTGTTTTACCGCGGTCGCAACCTTCTGCGAGGTAGTAATCTCGCGGAAGGAGGCGGCGGAGAGGGCCCGGGAGGACGACCTCCACTCGGACCCGATCCGCCGCCGGCGAACCGGGCGGCGGAGGCCCGCCTACCACAGCCTCATGCCGCCCTGAGTGTGGCCGCGGGTGGACGGGGTGGGTTTCCCCTCCACCCGCATTAGTTGGCCAGCCGCGAGGGGGCGGCGTCCGCGTGTGCCGGACGTCGCCTAAAGAGAGGAACATCTACACTGAGACGGAGCCCGCACCAGGAGCGGGCTGGCGCTAGGAGGGGTCCGGATGTCTTAACAACAGCTGTTCCCGGATCCCTCCTGTTACAGGCGCAGAGTGGCACACCGTGTGGTTTTAGTCGGTCCGAGTCCGACACACCACCCCGCCGCAAACCCCGGAGGGGTGACGGTCCGAGGGGATTTCCACACGTTAAAAAAAAAAAAAAAAAAAAAAGGGTTTGTGTCAAGTTTTCCGTCTTTTTGCAGTGCTAGTGTCCTGCGTTGTTTTGCGCCCTTAGTCGGTTCTTATGACACCCACGGGATGAATAGGGGTAGTGACATTCCGTATTCTTAATCCGTCACTACACGGACAGAACCACCAGATCAAACGCTTAATTATATTTCTTACAATTTTGGGCTAGAGACATAGCTCCAGATCGTGAGCCAAGGTCAGCACCATCTGAATTGAGAATTGTAGTATTCATATCCATATTTACATGTTACGAACCATATATATAATTTATCAGGTTTAGAGCTATAAAAATCCATCAGATCCATCCCGTATGTAAGCAATCAGTAAGAGTAAAATTTAAAAGAGTGTTCAGAGTAAGCGTAGCGTTTTAACCTTGCGCTGGTTATCGGTCAAGAAAGTTTCTTGTAATCGTTCATGGCCTGAATATTTCGACTAATTTTGAGAGGAAATATTGTTGCCTATGGAGGCGACATAGGAAAGGGGGATGATGAATACTCTTTTATCCCGCAAAAGATGCACGAGGTGCTGGAGACTGCAGAGCGATCTGCAAGCAGTGTGCACGGCAAGCCGTTGATGCGTTAACTAAACAAAAAGAGGCCTGACTGATAGCTCTTATACTCAAAACTATGAGGACGCCGTTCGCACTTCACATTATAGTCACATATTGCTCAACAGGCATCCGAGTCTGTCGGGCTTTTAAAAGATTTTGCTTTATGGGGTACACCTGGGTCTCCAGCAAGTGGTACTCTGTAATGGAACACTATGTGGTTTTGGTTGGTTTGTCTAGAATATACTACTTTGTTCTTATGAGGGGATGACCCGTAGGGATTTTCACACGTCAAAAATAAGGGCACGAGCAACTGTGGCGTGATCAAGAGTACCAAACCTACAAATGATGGCAAATACAAAAAATGCAAAAATCATATGTAGAGAGCACATTTGAGTAATTTATAGGCAGATTTGTAGGTAGTGATAGACTACCTACATGTTTTTTTTATAATTACTTAAATAGTATTAAGGTGAATGAAAACTTGGACAAAAATAGACGGGTTAGTTTTTAATAAAATTACTTACAATTTTTGGCTTCAGACATAGCTCGAGATTGTGATCCTGCGCCCGCACCATCTGCATGACAAATTTTGTTTTTTAATAACTGTCGTTTAGGGAATTCGTATAAATGTAGTAAAATGTAGACAAAGAGATGACTTACAGCTTTCTGCTTCCGCTAGAGAGTGTGATAACGCGCTCACACCTTTAACATCTAAATGGTAAACCGTAATGTTAGAATTGCAATAAAAGTGTTGATATAATCAGTGCAAGAAAAATATAAAACTGATTTTATTTTGTCTTCCAGAGCAGTATTTTATCAGCGATCATTAATATTTGTTTGTACCTAAGAGAATAAACAAATAAAAAAAAAACCGCTCTTTACTACGCTAACGTACTAACACCTGCGCCTACGCAACTTAAGCATCTGTTGATACAAGTGGCAGCCCTGTGCCAAAATGTATGGTTTCAGATGTGCCATGTCACACACATATCAGGCACAACGTGGCAACACCGGCAATGTGGCATGCAGTGCATTGCAATCACTACTCACGTATGACGTGTTACAGAAAACTTTTGTTACAAATAATCAATGTTCCTAGTACAATTGATCAAAGTTGGTAGCGAGAGAGGCGTCGTGCATCAGAAACTTGGATGGACGCTCAGCATACACTAAGAAGCGTATATCCCACCCCAGTACTGATTTTCAGTGCCAACCACGACCCGTACACAACCTCACCGTATTCTGTTCTACATCTTACCACTTTCAGCTTGAGACATAGCCGCAGATTGCGATCCACCTCCTGCTCCATCTAAAAACCAAAAAGGTATTGTTAAAATGTAGACTACATTAAAAATATATGAAGACTAAACACTTAATTATATTTCTTACAATTTTGGACTAGAGACATAGCTCCAGATCGTGAGCCAAGGTCAGCACCATCTGAATTGAGAATTGTAGTATTAATATACATATTTACATGTTACGAACCACATTATAGAATTAATTATGCTTCTTACAATTTTCAGCTTGAGACATAGCTTCAGATCGCGAGTCACCACCAAAATCATCTAAATAGAAAATCGCAACATCAATATTAGCCTTCAATAAATCGATAAAAATGAGAGAACGTTATTCTTAAATTTTATAATAGTAATACATCTTACAATTTTGGGCTTGCGACATAGCTCCAGATCGCGTTGCACCGCCAAAATCTAAATATGAAAAACAATATTAATTATTAGCATTTAACAGATTACTAAAAATATAACTCTGTCTATCTTAAATATTTATAATAACAACAATACTATAACTTACAGAAAAGGTGTTGATAGACTAACGTATATTAATATATATTTATGTACATTAGTCTATCAACACCTTTTCTGTACGTTTATAACAGTCAATGCTGTGTACGTATAATATGTACGGAAATTCAAATAAGTAAGTTACTTAATTACTACCTTACTTGGATTATTTTTGCATTTCGATTTGTTTATTTTCCATTTAAATTTCTTGTGATGATAATGTCAACCTTTTATGAACCAACCCACTTTTAATATCACAAAAAGGTTAAAATTAATAGTTTGTAATTAAACTGTAATTTTGGTAAGTCTGTATCTAGACCCCGCATGACGCTGAAACTAAATACGCTTTTATAATAAGCTGAACTAAAGAGTTAGTAGTTAAAAAACGATAAAATGATTCATTTTTTTGAACTCATGGAAAATTATTTTCTACTTTTTAGTTCGGATAGTTACAAAAGCGTGTTTTTTTATTAATGTAAAACTAACTATAATTTATTAACTATAATAAAAATAATTAATTAATAATTAATTATATTATTTATAATGTATTATATTTATTTTTTTGTAACTATAATTTATTTTTTGCTTTTTTAGGCATTAATAATGATTATTTTCTCATTAAGATTAAAAAACTAACAAGTAAGCAAGTCACATATGCTTCAGCACATGCCTCTTAGTACACGCACGTTGCAAAAGACACTACTGTATTTTTAGGTATGGAAAAAGAAGTAAATCCTGAAGACCCTGATCAGGATAATCGACCAAATTTATCAAATTATTGTATTGTCATCAATCCTTGATAAGTGTGCTAAGTTTCAATTTAATTCGACGTTTTGAAGTGGGTCAATAATACGTTTGAAGATTCCGTAAAATACATAAATACATACTTACATATACCAAGTTAAAAAAAGCGTGGCAGGGTTTGCGTACTAGACTAATCATTTGTTAATTTTATTTGGGTGATGTTTGGTATTTACCCAAATTAATTTAGACCTCAATGTATGACAATGCTTACATTTTGTCACGAAAATAAATATTGAAGTTGTCAAAATTTAATTAATCAAAATTTGTGTAAGAGATCAATAATTTGTCAAACTTAGTTAAATGTATTTACATATTGAAGGTAACAAAATAGGGGATCAAAGTTTGTGTCACGAAAAAATGTTTCAAGTTTATATAGTCAATTTTTTTGATCTTTAGAAAACAAGACCTAAAGAAAGGAACCTGTTGTTGAAATAGAGCATGAAATTTTGTATGGCAGAGTGACAATTTATCAGGTTTAGAGCTATAAAAATTCATCAGATCTATCACGTATGTAAGCAATAAGTCAGAGTAAAATTTAAAAGAGTGTTCAGAGTAAGCGTAGCGTTTTAACCTCGCGCTGGTTTTCGGTCAAGGAAGTTTCTTGTAATCGTTCATGGTCTGAATATTTCGACTAACTTTGAGAGGAAATATTGTTGCCCATGGAGGCGACATAGGAAAGGGGGATGATGAATACTTTTTTGGCCCCCCAAAAGTTGCACGAGGTGCTGGAGACTGCAGAGCGATCTGCAAGCAGTGTGCACGGCAACCCGTTGATGCGTTAACTAAACAAAAAGAGGCCTGACTGATAGCTCTTATACTCAAGACTATGAGGACGCCGTTCGCACTTCACATTATAGTCACATATTGCTCAACAGGCAGCCGAGTCTGTCGGGATTTTAAAAGCTTTTGCTTTATGGGGTACACCTGGGTCTCCAGCAAGTGGTACTCTGTAATGAACACTATGTGGTTTTGGTTGGTTTGTCTAGAATATACTACTTTGTTCTTATGAGGGGATGACCCGTAGGGATTTTCACACGTCAAAAATAAGGGCACGAGCAACTGTGGCGTGATCAAGAGTACCAAACCTACAAATGATGGCAAATACAAAAAATGCAAAAATCATATGTAGAGAGCACATTTGAGTAATTTATAGGCAGATTTGTAGGTAGTGATAGACTACCTACATGTTTTTTTTATAATTACTTAAATAGTATTAAGGTGAATGAAAACTTGGACAAAAATAGACGGGTTAGTTTTTAATAAAATTACTTACAATTTTTGGCTTCAGACATAGCTCGAGATTGTGATCCTGCGCCCGCACCATCTGCATGACAAATTTTGTTTTTTAATAACTGTCGTTTAGGGAATTCGTATAAATGTAGTAAAATGTAGACAAAGAGATGACTTACAGCTTTCTGCTTCCGCTAGAGAGTGTGATAACGCGCTCACACCTTTAACATCTAAATGGTAAACCGTAATGTTAAAATTGCAATAAAAGTGTTGATATAATCAGTGCAAGAAAAATATAAAACTGATTTTATTTTGTCTTCCAGAGCAGTATTTTATTAGCGATCTTTAATATTTGTATGTGTATATATATAAGTAATATGTCTAAGTGAACAAAAAAATTAAAAAAAAAACGCTCTTTACTACGCTAACGTACTAACACCTGCGCCTACGCAACTTAAGCATCTGTTGTTTTGTGGGTATTACTTACCGTGAATACAATATGAAAATACATGCATATTTTTGAAATAAAGAGAGAAAAAAAATATTGTTAACTTAAAGTAAACTAAATCATATGTTTATGATGTATATGCTTTTAATTAAATAGGGCATTTAAGTTTATTTGTGATAGAGTTATAAAATTAGAACAAAGGTGACTTACCACCATCCTGGGCTAAAAGCCCCGGTGGCAATGACAGCACTAGCGCAAGGGCGGCCCAGTTCATGGCACCTATTTGGTGACGGTCATCACGGACTAAGGATTTAAAAATACAACCAGGTTTTAATACAAAAAAAATACATAAAAAATACATTATTTTTATCATTAGTCGTGAGGCATTAATTAAATTATTCATTCATTTTTATCGCTTACACGTTATATGTGCAAAATAGTGATCATGATACGTGAATAAATGTTTTTATATATTGTTTTTTGCATGTATAATAAAAATTATTATATATATATATTAAAATTTTGCGTATAATTTATTACATATAATAAAAATCACACATTTTATAGATATAGGGATAGTGAATTGCTATTGTTCAGTTTCGTCGTGCAATATCATTCACGGGCCATTAACCATCATCATTACGTCTAGAACCTTTATAGGCAGAAAATACAATAATGGGACGAGAAAACTCAAGGGGCAAGAACGGGTACTCAGATAAAAGCGTTTGTCTTACTTACACAATTAAGTCACTACACCCTCCCTTTAGCGTCAGAGGTAAAAAAAATAAAACAAATCGAAACAATTATCGGATCTATAGAATATCAAAGTGAAAAATATCCTTTATCAGCTTAAACAGTTCGTTATTAACAAATTTTAAAATAAGAAGATGGTTCTCAATTCGTTTGTTTTTTTCTTTGTAACATGTATACTTTCCGTTTGATACCAGTACCATTCGAATTTGTAGAAAAAGTATAAGTATAAAAGTTAAGCAATGAAGAATAAAATTTATCACGATGTTTAAGTAGGTGGTGCTTTTGAAAAATTCAAATATATTTATAAGCTTGTGCGGCTCCGCCAGCATGTGTCGGTTATCGTAGTAAAAAGTGGCACACGTTACTCGCTAATAATGTAGCTTCCATTGGTGCACGAATTTTTAAAATAAGTTTAGTGGTTTAGGCGTGAAAGCGGAATAAACAAACGAGCAACGTCACCTTCATATTTATAATATACTAGCCTTTGCCCGCGGCTCCGTCCGCGTGTATGTTGGTTTTTGCGGTAAAAAGTGGCCTATGTTACTCACTAATATTGCAGGTTTCCATTGATTCACGAATTTTTAAAATTATTGTTAGAGTTTAAACAAACTAACTTTCATATTATTAATATAAGTATGGAATATCCATTTTTATCTGAACGATATCATTTAATAATATCGTTAAGTACCTTATTAATTATATTAATGAGGTAAAATTATCTAATTTGTAATTTAACCCTTTGCAACTAATGCCACTGACTGTAATTTTCATCTTGAAAATTTTGGGGTAGACTATATAATGACCCTGGTTTACTGAAATACACATTTAAGATATCTTGATTGGGATTGCTATGAAAAAGATCTTCTAGTCCTTAAATATATGTATATATGCATTGAGTTTCGAATGTTCACCTGTATTAACATATTTTGTTTTAAAATATGAAAAGCTCAGATTCTATGTTTTTTTTTTCAAGATCAGTTAAAACTACATCGAACCTATAAGGCTCTAATAAATAAAGTAATGAAATACAGGGTCAAAACTGTATAGAGACAATATTGTCTCAATATGCCTATTTTTCACGTAGAATTTCGATAACAGTGTAGACATCTTGCCTTTATGACTGTGAGCTCGGGCCGATTTCAATATACAGTGCCATTGTCTGCTTCGATTTTTACGTTTTCGACATAGTGTGCACACTGTTATTCTGATATTCCTTCACAAGTATTCATAATGGCTTCGGTTTTGCATCAGAATATGAAATTTTGTAAAAATATCTTTATGTTTTACGTTGACGAAGTAACCATTATAAGGAGCTGAAAGTTTCATGTTTGCATCTCCATGTGGGTTTATTAAGGAACTTGTAGGTGCCTGTGACTTTTTCTGGCTAGTGTAAGTACTTTGGATAGTGTATTTTTTGTCCAAGCTTTCATCAATCTCTATAGTGAGTAAATATTCTATGAGCCCAACGGCCACATACATGTCGTTGATTATGGGATTTTTTTTATGTAGGTAAACCTTGTTCTTGATGAATCATCACCTCACTGATATAAATCTCGGGTATTTATTCTATAGGGCTAAAGATGAAATTTCCATAATTCCCAAAAACATTCCCAAAAAGGGGCATTTCAGTTCAGACTACAGAACCCGGGAAACTTACGGAGGAACGAGTATTATACCTACTTCTCAAACATAAACTGGGGAGAATCCTATTCTCCAACCAGGCTAGGTGAACATGATGCATGCATGCCCAATGGTTGATAGTGAAAAGTTGAACATATATATTCTCATCGGCGCCAGACAATATTAGTAGTTAGGCGGTATGTGTCTTCCTTGGGTGACATTGAAGTATGGCTTTCATTGTATGTGGAAGTTGCCATAGCCATCCCTAAATATACTTGGCAAATGATTAGTTAATTAAAAAATTTTGATCCCCTGTCAAGCAGGCCGCGCGACCCTATGGTTGATGTTTAAAACCTTTATATTTTACTAGCTCTTGCCCACGGTTCGTATGTCGGTTATCACTTAAAAAGTAGCCTATGCTACTCGCTGATAATGTAGAATGTAATGTAGCTAATTATGATAATGTAATTAATTATGATAAGTACATTATTTTGATCTATCTCATAGAATTTAGCCAGCGTTTGCAATGTGAGCGAACGAAAACATGTTTTTTACAAATTTACAATAGATATATTTGAAATTCTTGGATTTTTTCTGCTATAATATTCATGTATTATACGTATAAACCCGCCTCTTGAATCACTATCTCTATTGGTGAAAACCGCATTACCATCCGTTCCATAGTTTAAAAGATCTAAGCTTACAAGAAAAAACTCTTTTTTCTTCATTTTATACTATGTAAAGAAGTATGGAAGTATGGATGCATGTTAATCAGAATGAGGACCGACGCAATAGGTAGTGGTTCGATAGATCGGCTTGCTTAAAATAGATGGCGCTGATTTACCTTCGGTAACAATCTCTATAACGTAGAAATTTAAGCTACTAATGTTAATTTAAAGTAAGTGGTGTCTGTCAGTTATTATCAGTGTTATCAGTTAATAGTAGTAGTGTTGCATGTAGCATCACATCATCACATCAACAGCCTATAATAGTCCACTGCTGGACATAGGCCTCTCCTTAGAAATGAGGTTTTGGCCTACTATACCACGCTGGGCAAATGGGTTGGTATAGGGTTTGTGTCAAGTTTTCCTTCACTTCACAGGTAGTCACTTATTATCAGGAAATCCATTTACTGTTTTGCTCCCTATGTCGTAAAATATACTGTTATGTATTTGAAATATGAAAGGATCAAGCTAAAAAAAGTATCAAAAAATCTGTGCAATTTATTTAATAATTAATCATTTGTGGAAACATAATTTATTTATAGTATACAAGACCTATATAAAATAAATTAGGCATAATATTTCTTCATTCTTTGCATACGGTCGTTTAATGAAGAGAAAGAAATATTTTTAATATGCAGTTCGTAGTAAGTTATAGAACTGATAGGAAAGGCTGCAGATCTGAAATAAAAAGAAATTCTAAACATATTAGTGACCTTTATCGACATCATCATCATCATCATCAACAGCCTTTAAGAGTCCACTGCTGGACATAGGCGTCTTCTAGGAGGTTTTGGCCTACTATACCATGCCGGCCAGACGGGTTGGTAGGGTTTGTGTCAAGTTTTCCTTCTTTTTGCAGTGCTGTTATCCTGCGTAGTTTGCTCTCTCAGTCGGCTCTTACGACACCCGCGGGACGAGTACGGGTGGTGACGCACCGTATTCTTAACCCGTCACCACACGAATAAGGTTTGTTATTAAAAAAAGTAAATAAAGGTTTTTGCATATTACATTCAAATGATTGCCTTTTCAACTCTTATATTGTTTGTTTAAAGCGGATAGTTTAATCGCCTGTACTAACGATTACTTTATTATGAATCAATACTTACGTCACTAAAGGTATCTAAGTTCATAGTTAAGTAACCTTTAGCAGTGAACCTAAATGGCTTTTGTACACGCATCAAGAAAATCAAAAGCATCTTCTTTGTGTTAGCGTCAGCATATACCCAATCAACAAAATATATCGCTTTTTCAAATTTTTCACTCTGAAAGTAATTAAAACAAAACAATTATATAAACTATTCGTAAATATGGAGGTTGATTTATTATACTTTAAATGTAAATCTAAAGGTCTTGAATTAATCATCCTCTCGGGTTGTTTTATTTATACGGTTAGTAGTTGTTTTAGAAGGTTCTTGAACTGGAGAACAATAACATTTACTTGAAGAAGTTTTTGGAGTGACCAATTAAAATTTATCAAATTGTAAAATTGTGATGTGTGAATTAAAATTTTCAACTATTTCGTTTAGTCAGTTTAGATAAAAAAGTACTTAGTTTTTTTCATCATTGAGAACAAGTATTTACATACATGATTGGTAAGGAGTTGACCCATTATGCAGAGTGAGAAAGTATGAACCAGTAGCGAACAGAAGAAAGAAAAGTAACGAACAGACTTGTACGAATCGTCGACAACCTAAAACAAATAGAAACAGGTAAAGTGCACGTCTTAAAATATATTTAAATGAATCTACATATTATGGTCATAGATTGAAATTGTCAGATGTGTCTTATCACTTCTGTCGTAAATTTTATTTAAATTTGAATTGTATTGTTATCTTCAAATAAAAATATTGCAAAAGAAAATAACAGTCAGACAGATGATAGTTTGCCCCAGAGGCAAACTATCATCACATTTATTTACTTGCACTGTATTAACAATTTAATATAGGTGTGTAATTTATCTAATATATATATATATATGTATTTAGAAATATATAAGTATGTTTGTCAGCAGTCTGGTTACCACAGTACAGACTCTGTCAAGTTTGGGATTAGAGCGCTGTGTGTGAAGTTATTATTTTTATTAAACTGTTAAAGGTTACTGTTGCAGTGAAGGCCGTGAGACAAATGAATATTGATCCAAAGAAATACGTTAGCAGCATTCCTTCTCCAAGAACAGCATCCAATTCACGGGTTATTCTGAAAGACTTATTTCATTATATTGGTTTTTAAAACTACATAAGTTAAATTTATAAAGTTAAATTTGTATAATTAATGTATTACGTACTGGTCTAGAAACTGGTGTTTTGTTATAATCGTTTTCAACTTCTGGCTTATCTGGTAATGAGTATTGATAATATCCATCTTCTCCTGAATTTTTCTTATTTCGTTTTTACCGATAATACCTTTCATTATGGTACCGAGAAATTTTAGTTCCATACAAATATTTCTCGTGTAAGAAATATGGAGCATGTTAACAAATACATACAGAAATATTACGACCGTGGTCATAAAACTTTCCCAGGCATAGACAACATAATACCACTGGTTTTTGTCAAAAGGATACCAACCGTCAAATGGATACAGGTATTGCTTCTCTTTGCCTGCTACGTCAGTTTCATAAAACATGATCAATCTTGGAAAAAGATTAACAACAACAGTTAAAACTATTGAATAGTAAAACTCAAATCTGAGTATCATTCGGGTAGTCTGAGAATAGCAATTTAAAATACTCTTATGCTCTTCAGAGTTTGTAACAACTTCCCACAGGTCGCGTCGAAAGTGTTGATATATCTTCTCATACAATTCTTTATTTCTGTGAATTTTCTGATATTGTATAAGAATCATGAGACAGACTCCAAGGTTTGGGGCAATGTTGACGATTTCAAACCAGTCATTGAACGCTCTTGAAGAAAGAGTCAAGAGTAACTGCACCGATGTTAGGAATAGAAGAAAATAAGTGAAATGGTAGCAGTATATCGATAGCCTTGTTCGGCCAATGAAAGGATAGATAAAAAATTTATTGCCTATATTGGTAATAAAATCCATTTCGGATAAAAAATCCTTTTTGAGGGAGCTGTACGTTTTGTTCATTTTACACGTCACGCGTTATACCACCGCTTGTATTGTGCACTTTAATGAAAAGGTAGAGCTGCGGTTAGATCAATAACTAAGGCTAATAATTCCAAATCCTTTTAGAGCGTTACGACCGTTTAGGGCTATCTATTAGGTAAAATATAAAAAAAGTGTGTTTTCTTAATTGTGTTAAGTTGTGTATGCCACATTCTTTAGGAAAACATATTCTTAATTTAATGCAATGGCATTAAATGAAAGACAGTTTGTAGATAAAATCAGATTACTACCAATTGTGTTGTAAACTGTGCTTAGCAAGAATGTTTTGTTTTTAGGTCAGCTGTTAGGTCTTTTGTAAGCCTAAAATTTATTCAATAGTTTCAGCTTTTTAAAATGACTGTCAAAACCAGTTATAACGTAAATTTCATTTTTTTTTTCAAATCAAACTTATAATTTATAATATAATTGGCGCATCTATTCGGTCTGATTGTGATTTATAATGTTTATGGGGACAAGGACTATTTATACTGTATTAATTATTCTAGTATTATAAATAGGTTTTGATCATTGTTCAGTCCTAATTATTTAAAAAATAGTAATGCCATTCTACTTCTACTACTCTTATTTAATGGTTTTGTTTTGAATTTCACTAGCTTACCTTGGCAAAAGAATCAATGAAAATCAACGTAAAAATTCCACTAAAATCTTCTTGAGAAAAAAGCGAATCGGATTTATAAAACCTTTTCATTATAGTTTAACTGAAACAAAAATATGTTGTATGACGAATATAAAAGTTTTAGAAATCGTATTGTATAAAAATTATTTTAAATCAATCAGGTTTATAATAATAACCGGTGATTTTCTTGGATTAAAGGGTTAGAAGATTAACATTAACTTCAATTCTAACTAGTAATAAGGCCTATAAGTAATGGTAACATGACACCATAATCATAGAAGTATGTACACATGAAGTACAGCAGAAAAAGTTTGTTTAGTAATTTATATACAATGTTTTGAGATAACTTTATTTGTTTGTACTCGAGACCTGAAATTTGGAAAAAAAGTAGTTCATAAGTAAGAGACGTCAGCTTCCACGAAGGTGAAATTAAGGAAATCTGAGAGCACTCACAACCTTTTATGAAAGATTATGTTTTAACTAGATACTTAAAATCTACATCAGCTACGAAGCCTTAGTCTATACGGGTAAAGCACATCAAGTAATAATGAATTTCGCAATAGGGCCCGTATTAACAGGGTTACTACAGCTCTATCCTCATCTTTCCTACTAGAGACCTAAATTGGAGTGAAGGTAGTTTATAGGTATAATACATGTTTGTGACATGACTAGATTAAAGGCTAAATAAGACTAAAAGTACGCTGGCCAAATATATAATTTGGTCTTTGGATTTTAAAACTAGGCAACTGAAATTTGACAAAGAAGTAACTTACTACAAGATACATATACGTCAGCTTACATTGGACTCTATGAAATGGACGGATTAAGGAGGTCTACAAGCTCTCGAAAGTTTATTATAAGTTTTATTTTATGGTGTTTGGGGGGAATATCTGCATATGGGTCACCTGATGGTAAGTGACTACCACTACCCATCGACAACAGCAACTCAAGAGTTATACTTTCAGGTCCTCCACCCAGAATAGTAGTAAACAGAGGAAGGGGCTTCTTGAGGGCTTGGGCTCCCTAAAAAATCGTGGGAGTGCCATGTTTCGGCACCCATGGTGGGGACCATGGGTGCCGAAACATGGCACTCCCACGATTTTATAATGAAACAAAAATATCTAGTAACATAATAAAAACTTGATTATGTTGATTATTATTTTATTTATTAAGTACTGTAACAACTATCGCGGAAAGTGTGGTTTATTTTATGTATAACCAGTTACTGTGCGAGAGGTAGTAGGACTATACCAGTAAAGTCTTTGGTTATTATTATTTTTAAAACAGTAACGCCAAAAATTAAGTATTTTATTACAACTTAAAAAAAACATTCCCCAATTATGCCAACTTCTTTTTCACTCTGAATGCAATCTGGCTGATATAGAATTGTCAAGTGGTTTTATATAACATATTTTATTTTCTTGTATTTTTGGCGACCAATATGATATTTTTTCAACTTTCTTAATATTTACGATTTCGTGATTTCTTGATTTGAAATTGTTGTATTAAAACGTTAAATAACAAATGCATCTATGTGATACGCTTCGTGACAAGACCACAATTTAACAATTGTTTGGTAATGTATATAGGGTTACTGGGTAAGCAAAAAAAGCATAAAATACAGGATATAAGTTCTATAAAATTATTTTAGGCAAAATTTCGGCAATTTTTATAAAACATCTTCAAAATTCAATATCTTGAAAGTAGTTAGGTTTGGGATATGGTATTTCATAGTGAAATCCATCGGAAATGATGGCAAGTACAACCTCTTAAAATATCTAGGTCGACTTACCCAGTAACCCTGTATACGGTTCTTAGCCATCGCTGCATTGACTAACATTTTCAAGTGTGATTTGAATATACTATAATATACGATTACGAGTAACATAAGGATCTACACATAAACTGATTGTAGATGAAAATTTAAATAGTATCATAATACTTTTTATAACAACGTGAACCAGTCCATGTTGTATTATTTTATAAGACAGAAGAAAGTATACCCGATACCGATAACTATACCGGGTAAGTTTAACAATTGATTAAAATAAGATGGAAAGGATGGATTTATTAAAAAGATGGATTAAGGATAAAGGTTCTTAATACTTCCTTGTTTGCTTCATTAAAACATTTTATTTAATTTTTCGCGGGGATTTCAGTACTTCACATTCTTAAATAATAATTATTGATTAAATATTGATTAATATAAATCCACAATGTGTGCTGTAATGCTATGCTCAACGCTAGTTCTAAGAACAATGCACAACTTTTGATTCGGTTGCAGTTAACTATCGCTACAGCCAGAGCTATCGTTACCGTATTCTTGTGAACAATCTCCAGAGTCTCCACCTGAAGAATGATCACCCCTAGATCCACCACTACCTTCAGGCTTATCACCGCTGAAACCTGGTTTATCATGGTTACCTCCTTTTTGATTACCACTACCTTCAGGCTTATCACCGCTGAAACCTGGTTTATTATGGCTACCTCCTTTTTGATTACCACTACCTTCAGGCTTATCACCGCTGAAACCTGGTTTACCATGGCTACCTCCTTTTTGATTACCACTACCTCCATGCATCGAACCACTCTCTTCATGGTTGCCTCCATCCTTGCCTGGTTTAAAATGGCTGCCTCCTTTTTGATTAACACTACCTCCTGGCTTCGAACCAGTCTCTTGATGCTTGTCTCCATTCTTGCTTGGTTGACTACCGTTGTCTCCTGGTTTCCAAACACCACCTCCTGGTTGACCACCTTTTCCTTCCGATTTCCAGCCACTCTCTTTACAACCTCTTCTACCATATGTTTGTTCTGGCTTCGTCAAACCAACGACTGCTTTACCTACATCGCAGATAACATCTCCAAGAGATTCAACTACATCAGGAACTAAGCCACCACCACCTAATAATGCTAATACTGTTTTTGTTACGCCATCTGTTACTGATTTTCCACCAGTACCCTCAGCTGACCCATGATCTGAAATAGAAAAATAAAAAAATGAGACCTGATAACAAAGAAGATATATGCTGGAAAATATTGAGGCAGTAGAAGACGTCCTATGGCTGAAATTAAGAAGGTGAAAATGAGACACAGGTGTCTGGTATGTATGGTTATTTGACATGATAACGAAAACGACTGTAAGAAACTTAACTTAACTACATCATTTATTTTTACAATTTAATGAATTATGGATGATTTACCACTAGGTAGTCTCTAGACCATATGTTTGAAGATAATTAAAAAAAAAATGCAAATGGAAGAACATGACGATTGAAATATTCAAAGTTTATAGAAAGTAGAAGAAATGCAGGAACCTGATATTTTAAACCATAAGTACTAGGAATAAAATAAGTGTTAAATAGAAATGAATACATCGACGTACACGAGTCCAGTATATTTATATCAATCGATCAATCATGATACCACACAACAAACGAACAAACCAGTAGTTTTAGTGGCAATGTCCATACAAAGACCAAGCCACTAAAACTACTTAAATTTTGTATATGTAACTTATATTTTCCGAATTACAAAAACACACAAATGCCTATTCACACTTGAATAATAGGTCTTTACCTATGAAATTGCCGTTTTGTATGCAATAAGTGAAAGTACTTATTTTTTCAAACTTTTTTATTTCTGTTATTCGAAGTAATCACCCATGCAATCGACGTATCTTTGCCAACGCATTGGCAGTTTATTTATTTATTCTTGTAAAAATCAGCTGGACGGGAGGCAAAAAACTCTTCAAAGGCATTTTGTACTGCCTCTCGGGAATTGAATTTTTTACCCACTAAAAAGTTGTCTAAATTTTGGAAAAAGTAATAGTCGGTAGGTGCAAGGTCTGGTGAGTACCAAGCAACCAGCTTTGGTCAGCTTTGATAAAGACCTATTATATTCCTATTCAAGTGTCTGGCAATACTCTTGTAGACTTAAGGGACAGCAAAAATTGTGAAAATCATTCAAAAATATTTATTGTAGTCAGTAAATATTAAAACAGACTCCTTCGTCACGATTAATTGAAATACATTTTAATTTTTAGTACATAAACTTACCTGGATTTGCGAAGCTTTTAGAAGCATAAAATAAAAGCCCCGTGAACACACTTAAATGTTTGAAATTCATCTTGTCATTTATCTGTCTAGTCTAGTATCTAGTCTAGTTCGGTAACAGGAAATAATGTGACTTTAAATAAAGGACAAAAACAATTAAAATTATATTACCTGCATTTTGTGAGTAATTAATATGATAATTAATAATTGTTACAACCTGAACATGACTTCAGTAAACGTTTAGATCTCTTGATTTTATTTTTATGTTTCATGAATGTTTATGGTTTTAAATCGGCATACTTATTAGATAGCTGCTTTGATAAAGAAATAAAAAAAATACTACCACATGTTCCTAACTACCTGACATAAAACGGGGTACCCGAAAATAACAACTAAGCGCTGGCAAAAACAACCTCGATATTGCTTTTGTCAAATGTAAGAAAATTTTTGATGATATCCAAAAGAAATCTATTTTACTCTTGAAAGTTCAAAAAATATAACTTTTCTTTTATGGGACTTACCCCTTCCACACGCCCACCACTGTAACTCGGTGTGTTTGTGGGTCAATACTGTTGTGGGCCTGGTGATGAACAGTAGTGACCCACGAACATACCGAGACACCCGGGAAGTCTTAGGAATAAATTAAACTGTCTTTTAACCACAACGAAATTATTCAGAAGAAAAATAAACTGTTATAAAAAGCTTTTTATTTCTAGTAACGTGTTATGAAGGAATGGTCGCCCGAACTTAAATTAATTGCCTTTGTCTCACACCGGTGGTGGTCCTGGCTTTTGTTAAAGATGTCATTAAATAAAATAAATTTACTTTATTGTCTAAATTGATGTGATGTGATTGATCCGTGGGTGTCGTAAGAGCCGACTAAGGGAAAAAACTACGCAGAACAACGAACTGCAGAGAGAAGGAATTCTTGACATAAACCCTATACCAACCCGTCTGGCCAGCGTGGTATAGTAGGCCAAAACCTCCTTTCTAAGGAGAGGCCTATGTCCAGCAGTGGACTGTTAAAGGCTGTTGATGATGATGATGTGATGATGTCTAAATTCCTCGCTGTAGACTCCATTACAAATTTAAATGAGTAGTTGTTTTTATTTTATTTTAATTAATTGCTATATTCCTAGTTGAATATAGTATATATTACTAAAGCATTGATGTATTAGTTTTAAAAATTTGCTATAAAGCTAAACTTTTCTGCAAATGCGAATGAAAAAGAAGGTCAAATTACATTTATTCAATTTTAGAAAACGTTAGAACAGTGTAAAACGAGTTCGTTCCAAAGAAAACTAGTGTCAAGTGATCTGAATCAAATTGGATTGAAAAATGCCTGAAAGTACGATTGTAAGGGTGTTGAGGTATCACTCCTATCGAACCGGCCCGTAAGGTGCCGAAGCATGGCTATCCAACGATAAATATAATTAATGTACTTTTATTTTTGTACTGCTTTCACGCTTATAGTTATAAGCGTCTATATTATACATTTACAGCCATATACCATTACCGTTTATTGTAACCAAAGTTCTTAACACGCGTAGGTAAGGCAAAGCAGACTACCAATTAGATCTGACAATTAAATTGTAATCTCTCTTCCGATAAACCATTTCTACCTTTTATACAACTATTTAAGGTCTAAAGTTAAATAAACACGGGCTACTGTAATATGATCCTTACATAAATGGGTCAAGGATCTCTCAAACGTAGCGATCGTTCATAATTCGTATTGTTCCCCAAATCACAGGGGTGCTCCATACTGTTCCGAAGTCTTTGATGCATGTATAATGTGGATTAAGTCGATGAGTATGTCATCCACTTTATGCTAATGCCGTACGAGTATGGCTTTCTACTGCTTTGCAATTCCCTTAGGTTATTTACGAAGCAAAATATTGAAATTTGATCAGCACTTAAATAGTGAATGTTCTCAAACTCAAATTTAGATGATAATGAAAGGAATATGTATCATACGATTATTATATTGTGGTACTTATGTCCACTATTTTTCACTAAAGAATGTTTTTTCCCGTTAAAAATCCCAACATACAACCGATTCCATGTCGGAAACGAATCGATTAAAAGAACACGCCGATAATCCATCAAGTGTTGATTTATTATAAGGACCCCGTGTAACACCCTAAAAAGTTAGCTTTTTGAAATCCTGTGAAACCGTTCCTGGACTGCGTCGGCAAGAGACGGCATCCCCTACACCCTATCGTGGTGCTGTTGTCGTAAAACACCAAACAAAGCGCATTTTGGAAGATCTGATTTGTCGTGCTCTTTATTAAATATACATTAAGTTTACCTTTTTTATCACAAACACATCACACACAATCCTTACAGGAAATCCAATGCCATTATGGGCTATAACTAATATTAAACTAATTTAAACATAATTATATAATTTTTAATATGACTGAATAAAACAAAAAAGAAAAGAAAAAGAAAATAATCGTAAGAATTAAAAATAATTTTACATCTCTATCTTTAAATTTAAACCTTAAACTTATCCCCCCCTCCGAAAAATGAATAACTGAAAATATATACTTCTTAATTACAACTACATAATAATATCATCATAATATTAGTACTATATTACTGATCTACTATATCTATACAAATAAATCAAATTGAAGTGTGTGTTTGTATGTCAAAATAATAGGTGGGTGTTTTTCGTGCTCACACGGTTATTTGCACGATACCCATGCCAGTAAAAAAATTTTTTGCCTGTCTGTCTGTCTCTCTGTTTCTTCCGGGTAATCTTCTAAAATGGTGGACCGATTTTGATTATATTTTACTACCGGGTATTTGTCTATGTAAGGAGTAACTTAGACTATTAACCTTTGTCCGGTCCGAGAATCAAACCCACTAAGGCAGCGATTTTCAAATGCCACGCGAACGAAGTTGCGAGTACCAGCTAGTCTAAAATAAAATTGTTTTATTCGTTGTTGAATTTTAAGCACAAGATTTGTAGCTTTTTTTTAAGTATGTTATGTACGTATCTGAGTTAGTTATTTATTGATTTCTATTGTATTATTCCTCCCGAACCGGGGTAACGAAATATGACGTCATTATGGTCAAATAGAAAAACACTCTCATTCAAATTTCGAATCCGAAAACGCATTCGTCTTTAAATTGTGTTCATTTGTGGAATGCGTTCGAAATCTTTATAAATGCGAAGTTACACGCTCCGCGATCATCTTCAAAGACAACCAGTATAATTTGACCCTTTCTCCTTATGCAGGAATGGAAAAAGAGGCATACGTAAATAAAGTTAAGCGGGCCGTAAGATATTGGACGTGTTATACACGTGAGCCGTTTTCGAGCTCTTTTCGTATATTCTTATTCACACGCAATGGGATACGTTTTTATACCGTAGATGAATATCTGGTGCGAGGAGATATAACCTTCAAATCAAATGCTGGTTTACTATGTTTAATTTGAGAATTTACAAACTACACCAATTTTTTTTTAAAGTTTAAAAAGGTACTAAATTATTTTTCTTTACCTGTCTATTAAAACGTTTCCTTCCAGTTTCCTTTTTTTCTAAATTAAAAACATCAAAGCTCGTCAGTAGCTCCTAACTAAATAAGAGAAATGACGTAGCCATTTTTTAAGATAACCTTTGGGTGATGCAGAGCTATGTATGGTAGGTGTATCTTTCAAACTATTTAGATGATTAACTAAATTAACATGTGTTACGAAAACTAGCCTACTTACTTATATTAGTTATACATTTACATAATATATATGCATAGGTATATATTATAAATAGTATAAATATGAACATATAATAATATACATCAATATAGACACTCTTAAATTATACAAAATAAATGACTCCACCGACAACTCTTTGTATTGTTTGTGTACTTTAAACTGTACTTTAAAGTCTTATAGTAGACATCCTAATTTCAAGTGGCAGCGTGTATCAGAGATTTACAGTTTGGAGAAGCAAAGGAAGAACTAACCATACTGAAATTATGAGAAGAACAAAGAAAAGGGAATGTTATAAAAAGAGCGACGATTTCTGTCGTGATTAGAGCAAGAAATAATGAACAATGTTAGCGTAGTTAAGTAAGTGTTCCCCACTTACCTAACTACGCTACTACTATAAGAGTATACAGGTAACGCCCTCAAAATCCGTCGTTGTCTTATAGACAATCATAACATCGAGTACAATACAAGCTCAACTTGGGAAAACAAATAGAAGTACTCGTAATGTTACATGATATTAGTTTTGTTGTGGACTTATCAGTATCAGTCAGATCATTCGATACACCATGTGTCTATGACAAAAACAGCTAATGTTAATGCAACATACAGTAACAACAAATAATGTTTATTATATTCTAATACGTTCTTAACTATCACTCTACTCTACTTTATTATTCTTTACTATTATTATGATTCTAAAACCGATAAACCTATTTAAATGGTTTCTCTATTAAAAAAACAGTTTTTTTTACTATTTTTATCAATGAATATATTCCTGGTCGTTTTAAATATACAAGCGTTCTTAATGTAAACCAAGTCACATGATGTACTATATATATATGTATACTATATATATGTATGATACTATAGTCATAAATTATACATATAGAATACCCAGTCCCAAACCAGCCTGCTGATAAACTTGTACTGCTGAAACTTGTTTTACATATTATTAAACTTCTTTTGAGTACAATATATACTTAATTGTATAATGCCCATTAAATAGATATTCTGATTAGACTAAAACCACTCTATACAAATCCAGTCTTTTTCATCAAAATGAAGAAATCACAAGGAATAATAAGGTATGCGATGGTTATGAGATAGATATGTTCACCTTTCAATCGTACACAATGGGTTCCCGGGGCATGCTTTATTTGAACCGTTAAGGTCTCACACGTCAAATTTCACATCCTGAATAGAGTTTACCCCTTACCACGGAATCTTTATAAATAGTTGTGCAAAGACGGTGTTTAATTTAATGGAAATCCGTATCTTGGAGCAGTGAAGTCAAAGTGAAGTTGGTGAATGGATATTTGATTTAATTGCGATTCACTTGATTAAGGTTGG